GGTAATCCTTGTACCGACCTGTCTGTGTAGGTGTGCACAATTTGCCAGCTTGTAAATGAAACAGAGTCAGACCTCCGCCCCACGTCATGCATGACTGCGTTCGCTCGAGGCTCTCGATCTGCTTCTCAATCTGCTTCTGGTCAGGGAGGGAGATAACCTCAATGTTGGGAGATAGCCTCGATGTTTCATGCCTTCATAGTGGCTACTGAAGATGAAGAGGCTATGTGTGAAGGAATGCTGATTGACCGTAGTGGGTAACTAGAAACGCAAAGCGAACCGCGGGAAGTAATACGGGCATCTCGGCGATGTTCGATTACAGGTCCAGCCGCGAATGGATGTTGCTCACCCCACAGATCTCATCTAGGTCCAAGAGTATATCAGCTTTTACGACAGGAAACTGACTGCATAAGCCCATATAATGCTCAGTGTCGAGCTCCCCCAAGGAATAACCGTTTAACCGTGTGTTTATCGTGTATAAGTAACCCCTCGTAAACTAAACGAAAAATTACACGGTTTTATTCGTTTAAAACGTTTTTAAATGGAAACGGTTGGAGCCTTATGAATTTGGTGTCAATTTCCGAAGTTGACCGAGACCGAGACCGGAACTGAATATTAATCTTTCTGCGGAATTTATATTGCACCAACCGGATTGGACAAATGTGACTCAAGTTGAACTGGGCAATCCAAAATTTCAATCCTGAGCTGGGAACAATGAGGCCTGAGGTGGTACCAAAACGAAGTTGCTTGTTGAAAGAGAAAATTCGCGGCAATCACTCGGCCGGCAGCTTCCAAGTTATAATTAACCGTGTCTTGGTGTGTGACGCCGCGAATCGCGGTATCGCTTCATTCGTTCCCAATCACAGTCGTTATATTTCTGACAACAAGACATCTATCTGTTGATCAAGGGTCAGTGAAGGACTGTGCAAAGCTGTGGGGCTACGCGTCCTGCAACCTTCCTTCATGCATCCCCCCCGCTCAGAAACCCCCCACAGTACGCACAGCTGGTGGTCGGATAGCAACCCAGTCGGCGCCACAATCTCCTTGCATGCAGCGGCCAAACCTCTTATGAGACTCATGTACCATGAGCAGGCCCGCGGATTCATCAAGCGCAATCGTGGTACAGCGCTGTCGAAGCAGACAATGGATACTCACTTCAGTTATCTGGGGCAGGTGCTACAGTATATGGTTTCGTTGAACCTCCTCACGATTCCTACAGATACAAGTACATCTCAGCCACAACAAAGGTTTTGGTACTCAAAGAACTCGTTGCCCGCCCGGAGCTCAAGACCGACACACAACTCATTCAGTCAACTCTCAACCAGTGGCCTCTACTAATGGAACTCATGGCCTCGAAAGATGCTCAAATCCGCCGGGCCACTTGTGATCTGCTAGGCATACTGGCATACTCTTACACCCCAGATAATTGGAGGTTGGAGATGTGCACTCCGTTTGTGGTTCTTCTTGAGTATGTACCTCTCTCCTGTGATATGCCAGCATCTCAACAATAGAAAATAGTGACGCAGACTCCGATGTCCAAGCCAGCGCACTTTGTGTGATAGCCACGATCAGTGCGAATCTCCATGGTGCATCGGCGGTTGTAGCTTCAGGAATTTGGGATTACTTCCCCAGGATTCTGGACCCACCCGATGAGCAGTGGGATTACTTCCCTAGGATTCTCTACCCATCCAAGGATCCGATTCACACATTAGCCTGTGGTGTATTGGAGAACATCACAAGCTACGAAGTCAGCACGCTGGGCAGGTTGAGTTTACCCCTTCTCATACTCTATGTGGACTGATTATTTTGTTAAGCCCGCGAGCACACCGCGCACTATCCACTCTCATCAGAATCACCTCCTGGTTTATTGGCGCGCAAGCTGTGGCAAAAACGGACATATTGGACCATGTTCCCGGGTTCTTGGACTCCCCGGACCCCAAGACCCGCGAATGGGCGTGTCAGCTCCTAGTGGCTATGTCATCCCACCGTACGATTTCGCCTGAACCACTCGGGGTAATGGTTTTCACGCGCCTCATCACCCTACTAGGGTACTAGTTCATCTTTCCAGGTTGAAAGTTAACACTGATTTTTCGGAAGGGATGAACACCAAGAGATACGCGGGGCCGTACTGCGGATATTTTCACAGTTTTCACCACAAGTAAAAGCTATGATGGTGTTTGAACCCCCGACAGTTGTGACACAGTTTATGGAACATCGGAACTCGCCTGACCCTCAAGTCCGTGTATTCATATGCGCAGTACTGACAGATTTGGCTGTCCATCGGTCGCCAGCGCTAGTCGAGCTCAACTTTGAGCCGATCATGATGAGACAGATGTCCACCCTGTTAAGGTACAGTCTGACTAGCTGATTCCTACTTTGAATAGGCTGATGACGGTCTCAGCGACGACAATACCGAAGTGCGTCAAACAGTGTTACATGCATTTTCCAAGTTCAGTGGCTGGGCCGCCGCTGCACAAGCCTTCGATGCGCAGATTGTTCAGGCTATTTCAAATGCTTCAGTGGAATTGGAAGGCACAAAGTCCGTGTCTTCCACGGACATCCAGAGGTGGTGGTGTAGAACCATGGGTGATCTTGCCATCTACAACTTTGACTCCATCTATCCGGTGTTGTTGAAGATCTGCCTCCATATGTTGCCCTTCTTGAGGTAAGTATCAGTGACATGCCCACTGTCCGAGGAATGTTGTTCACTCTTGATCTTAGTGACCCCGATACTGGTGTTGTTCATGGTGCTCTTCAGGCTATATGCAACATCAGTCGCTCAACCTGCGGCACGGCCATACTCGCGCAAATTGGCATCTGGGGCAACTTGGGGAAACTTCTGAGCAAATCTAACTCCCGTGTCTGGCAATCTACCTGTCGGATATTGGGTAACTTGGCCACCCGTGGAGCTGTCTGTCCCTCCGCTTTTGACGTGGTCCATGTGCGAGCTCAAGTCATCTGCCTCCTACTCACCGGAAAATCAGTTGATCCTGTCCCTGATACCTCCCAGTTCTGGTTAGAACTGCATCCAAAAGGCGATGTTGACAGAAGAGTACAGCGAGAGGCGATATATGCACTCTCAAAAATGACTTCCTGGTCAGAGGATACAATGCAAACTGTGGCAGACACCCAATTATTGGGCCAGGTTCCACACCTTTTGGTGTCCTCCGACACTGAGGTCAGGCAATGGGTATGTGAGATTCTCGGATGCTTGTTGTCCGATGCCTTGCAGTCCCGCCGACTTCTCAACTTCGATATGGAATACTACCTACGTCATGCTGTAATTCTGTTAAGGTATGGGCTGTCTTCCTCAGAAAAGGTTGTCTCACTGTGTCTGCACCAGTGACCCCGCTGAGAAAGTGCGTAAAGTGGCCATAAATATCTTATCACCAAGGGCCTCTTGGTTGGCTGGACCCACCATCGTTGAACATGTGGCCAAGTACTCCAACTCAAGTGACCGCCGAATTCGATGCCTCGTGTGTAACATGCTGGAGGCAACCTCTCCAGCATCTCTGTGCGAGCCGAAGCCCTACCTAGTGCTTCTACCCCTGCTACTGTAAGCTCCAGTTTTTTTGCTCTCCACTCTTAAATGCATGACCTTTCCCACAGGGACCGAGATGTTGAGGTACATCAACTACTACCATCCATGCCAGTCAGGCTGAAGAAATACCAACAGGTCGGGGACCTGGCACTCCGTGCAGTGTCAACACTCAGTCGCTCATCGGACGGTGCTCAAGCCCTTGTTGACACCGACATTGTGAAACATTTGTCCAAACTGGTCGACATCGGGAGGAGTCGCCCGTTGGCCTGTGAGATTTTGGGCAACTTGGGATTCTACCAGGTTCTCCCAAATCTAGATGGGGGCCTCCGTACTCGTCTAACAGACCTCTTGAGGTGAAGCCTTCCCTGGCAAATTTTCACAGCATTACTGATGGTACATGAAGGGACGATGATTGTGATGTGCGGGAAAGTGCATTCATGGCACTGTTGTGGTGCAATCATTATGTACTCCCATAATTTGAGATGGCTCTGCATTACTCATGCGCAGATTGAATGTCTCTCTGGGTTGAACCCAGGGACTAGTTGCAGCTCCCACTCAGCACTCACCTTCCTGGTTGAAACACAGTGGAGTGCCGCTGATGAAAGAACTAATCACTCTGTTGGAACATATGTTGTGTTACTTGCACTGTGCTTTCCTTTCTTTTTCTTACCCAGAACGCTGCTGTGGATCACTGTGGATCGTCCTTATCTTATGGAGGAGAATTACAATATAAGCTTGTGAGGAAAGGTGGGTTCGACTCCCACCGGCAGCCTGGGGTCATTGACTGAGTCTCTTTATCTTCAATTCTGTGCCTCTTCTTCTCTGGTCTTTTGGGACAAGGCCTAGCTTTAAAGTATTGGTTATGTTACTTATCCTGCATTTCACCAGACAAGCTGCTGTGGATCATGGTTGATCATCCCCATCTAGTTTGAGTTCTGCAAAACCGCATTTTCGGAGGACGAATGTGGGTTCAACTCCCACTGGCAGTGTTCGAATTTCGTGCTGTGCCTTTTGACCTAGCTACTTAGCTTCTTAACCCGCGATACGGCGATCTCATGTGCAGCGTCAATGATTGTTTTGGAATTTCAACCTTGGTTCAAACTTCAAGCACTTGAATGCATGATCACGATGAAGGTCATTCAACATGTTGACGCTCTTCACCTCCGTCCCAACCCCATTTTGTGACACACTGTTTCATACCAAATAAGCTGTTGTGGATCGTGGTGGATCGTCCTTGCTAAATGGGAGATGTAACTGTATTCAGGGGAAGACGTGGGTTCGACTCCCACCAGCGGCCTGGTGTTCCTGACTGAACCTTTTTCTCTGAAATTCTGTGTCTCTGCTTCTCTGGTCTTTTGGGACAAGGCTCAGCTGCAGCTCAGAAACACAGCGGAATGTGTGGATGAAAATTTCCCTCCTCCAGAGTGTTAATTATTATGTTTCTTATCCGGCATTCAGACAAGCTGCTGTGGATCATGGTAGATCGTCCTCACCTAATTGCTATTCGGTACAAACCAACCGCATCTTCGGAGGGAAGGAGTGGGTTCGACTCCCACCAGCGGCATTTGCCCTGAGCCTGACGTTTTTTTCTCCCCTCGCACCCAGCAGCCCGCTCTTACTTATCTCTCTTTCTTTCTTCCGTTTTTGAACCTGGGTTGAAATTTAAAACTGCAGGTAATAATAAGATAATATTCTGGGACATACTCTGGGGCAGAAGGACAAGATACCTCGTCAACACCTCTATTGTGTGCAGGTTCATGCACTCGCAAGCTGCTGTGGATCATGGTTGATCATCCCTGCTAAGTAATGCTGCGTCAAGTATACGTCAGAGGGAGATATGGGTTCGACTCCCACCAGCGGCATAGCATTTGTCCTGCCTTTTTTTTACCCACTCCCGAGTCCCTGGGCGCGCACCGCCCCAACGCCGCCCGTTTTCCCGCCAACGGTTGCCCGCCGCGCCCGGTTGCTTGCTGTTGTTTGCCACGGCAACACCCGGCCGACACCGCCTGTTGGCATCACTCATGATTTTTGCGTTTCATCACTCATCACTTGACAGTGATTTTGACTTGACGGGGACCCGATCACGACAACGACGACGACGCTCCTTGCTCCCGACCACCACCACCACCACCGACGACGACGACGACGAGACCACCATGGCCAGCGTAGACGAAGAGACACCAGCGAGTGTATCGGTGCCTGCAATTGTACACGAGACGACGCCGGGGACGACGGGGAAGGTAGAAGGGAAGGCGGAGGGAGAGATAGGGATGGGGTTACCGCCGCAGAAGGTCGAAGGGAAGAAGGAGGGGAAGGGATTCAAGGGCAAGTCCCTCACGCTGCCCACCTCGCCCACCTCCCCCGCACCGCGCAGCCCGCGCTTCCCCGTGCGCGATATCATGGCGCCCGAGGTGGAGGACGACGACGAGGATCTGGACGGGCTGCTGGCGGCGGGGAATACGATGGGGGATGCGGAGGACGAGGATGAGGATGAGCGGGATGAGCGGGATAGGGATGAGGAGGTGGATGTGTATGAGGGTGGAGGGGTAGGGAAGACGGAGGGGTCGCATGCGCTGGAGTCGCTGGATGCGCTGCTCGCGGGTGGGGAGGACGTCCCGCTCAGCCCTGTCGTCGTCGTCGAGCCCAGCGTCGACAAGCCGGCGGCGTCGTATGCGCAGGAGTCGCTCGACGCCCTGCTCGCTGCGGGCGCGGCGGAGATCCCGCTCAGCCCCGTGGAGGCGCCGAAGGAGGAGGAGAGAGGTGCGTGCTGACACTGTTCCTCGTCGGGCATTGCTCAACTCAGAATCCCCAGCGTCGACCATGTCGCTCGACGCCCTGCTCGCAGCCGGCGAGACGCCCCTCAGTCCAGTCGAGTCTCCCGCCGCTCCTGCGCCAACGCCCGCTCTGGATGCGGGTACGTCTCCCTCCCTCCCTCCCTCCCTCCTACCTCATTCATTCTTCATCCTTCCTCCCTCCGTTGCTTCATTCCTCCCTCCTACTTCCTGCGCGTCGAGCTGCACCTCTCGGGACGGGGACGGACGCTTACGGCGTCGCGTCCGAGCAGCCTTCGCAGCCTTCGGGGACATATTCCAGTTGCACCCCATTCCACCCCATCTTGCCCTCCGTTACTCCTTGCGCGCGCGCTCCGGGCATCTGCGGAGTTGCGTTGCTGCGCGTTGCTGCGGGCGTTGCGTCGATTTTTACTTACTTTTTTTGGCCGGGTGGGCGCGCGTCACTGTCATTGTCCTCATCCTTCGGCCGTGTCGTGTTGTGTCGTGTCGTATCTTGCCTCGCTCGAATGCACGACGCGACGGACGTCCGAGTCCTGGCCTTGCACACTTCATTCGCCTCCGACTCATTGCTCCTCCTTCCCTCCTCCCTCACCGTTCCTCCGTTCATTACTGACACACGCTCACGCAGCTCCTGCCCCCGCACCCGCTGCGGCAGCACCCGCTCTGGATACGACGACGAAGACGACGGCGCCGGGTGAGTACTATTTTATTTCGTTTTGTTCCGGTATTCGTCGTGCGTTTTTCGTATCGTTCCTGTTGCTGGTCCTGTTCGCTTTTGCCCGACGCGACCCATCTGCTCTGCGGCGCCGCGTCGAGCGGTATTCCCTGTGATAGGGCAGCAGGAGGAGGGGCGTGCCGATTCGAAGCGCGTCCGGAGAGTCGTATTTTCGGCGCGCGTATCACTCCTTCCTCTGGTGTTTGGGATTATTCTTCCTCGACTCTACCGCCCATTATGAACTTCCTTTTTCTCTCTCGACAATGCTCGTCCTCCGCAATACTAACACACCGCACAGAACCCACCCCAAACGCCCTCGACGCGCTCCTCTCCCCCGTCGACGCGCCCGCGCCCGATATACCCACCCCCACACCCGCGCCCGCGCCCGGACCCGTCACACCCCCGCAAGAACAACTCCTCTCCCCCACCACGAGCTCCTACTCCTACACCTCCTCCTCCTCCGACCTCGACCCCCTCTCCCCCTCCTCCACCGCCTCCTCCTTCGCCCCCACAGGCGGCTCCACCCCCGCGCTCTCCGACGCCGGCACCGGCGCCTCCACGCCCACCACATCCGCTAGTGCGTCGGAGCCGGCGTCGCCGAGCACGCCGACGATGGAGGCGGTGCCGATTACGCCTGTTGCGTCGAAGCTTAATAGTAAGCACTTTAATGGGAAGGGCGGCGAGGGGGAAGGAGGAGTAGGAGGAGGGGGAGAGGAAGACGGGCCGCGCAGCCCGCCGGCGTTCCGCGCGCAGACGACGCCTTCGTGGCCGCCTTCGAGGAGTGAGGAGGAGTTGGCGAGGAAGGCGGCGGAGGAGGAGGCCGGGGCAGCTGTCGCTGCTGCCAAGACCGCTACTACCACCTCCACCGACGCTACCACCACCGAGGACGCTGCGCCGCCCGTGCCCGCTAAAGACAAAGACGCGGTGGAGCCAACACCCAAGCCCGTGGAGGCGCCAGCCAAACCCGCGCTCGTCATCCCCCCTGTGACCACCGCGCCCGCCACGCCGGGCTCCACCGCCGCCGCGCTCGCCGCCGCCAACCGTGGCTTCGACCACCTCTTCGCCAACGAGATCGGGCTTGCGCGGGGTGTCTTTTCGGGTATCGCGGACGGCGCGGAGGAGGTGTCCCCGTTTCATTTGCTGGGGCTGGGGGTGTGCGCGTTTTTGGAGGCGGCGTTGGGGATGGAGAGTGGGTTGATGGGGGAGGCGGGGAAGTTGTTGACGGCGAGTGAGGCGGGGGCGAGGAAGGCGGGCGGGGAGGTGAGGAGGGTTGGGGTTGAGAGGGAGAGGGCGAGGAAGGGGAAATCGGTCATACTCTCCCCTGCTGCTGGGGCAGCCGCGCTCGTTGAAGGAGCAGAGAAGGAGAAGGACGATGGTGGAGGGCGCTTCACGCCTGGGACGGAGTACGAGATTCTGGGTGCGGACGCGGTGGTGCTCCTTGGGCTCACGCATGCGCTTTCGTGAGTCGTCCTCCTCCTCCCTCTTCCCTCTTCGGTCTTCGCTGTTTCCTTCACTTCCCTCTTTCTTTCATTTCGCGTTTTTCTTCTTCTGAATACCGAACTAACGAAAGAACACGGCGGCAGGGAATCCTACATGGGCTACTTCCAGTGCATGTACGCGCTCAACGCGGCGCACAGCAAGTTTACGAAGCTGTACAAGGCAGTGTTCCCTGCGGGGTTGGAGCCGTATGAGGCGCGCACGCCTGGGGGGAGTTTGGCGGGGAGTCGGGCGGCGAGTATCGTGGAGGCGCCGGTCTTGCTTGTGGAGGGCGTGAGCGAGCCGGTACCGGCGGACAGCGCGTCGGTTACGGATATAAGTGCGAACACCCCGCCCATCAGCCTCAGCGCCTCGGCGTCGAGTCTTTCTGTGGCGGAGAGCACCACGGATAGCGCGGCGGAAACGCCCATCAGCCTCAGCGCGTCGGCGTCGAGCGTCTCCGTCGCGGAGAGCACTGCGACCGCCACCACCACGACGTCGGCGGAGAGCCCCGCGCCGACGTCGACGCCGCCCCCGATCGTGCCCAGCATCGTCACCACGCCGCCACCCTCCACCCCCGGCACACCCGGCACGCCCGCATCCGCATCCGCCCCCGGGACGCCTGGGACGCCGCCGATCCCTGCGACGCCGGAGGAGCGCCCCTCGCTCCCGAGCTCGCCGAGCAGTGTTAGCGTCGCGAGCACGGGAGGAGGAGGGGGGATCAAGTCGTTGTTTGGGAGGTGGGGGAAGAGGAATGCGAGTAGTGCGAGTTTGGGGTTGACTGGGGAGGTGAGCATCCTCTCGTTCCAATTCCCGCCTCATTTTCTTTCGTCTTTCGCCTCGCTACAGAATGATGCTAACGAGCGCAACCCCACAGGCGAAAGAAAAAGCGGACGCGCTGGCGGCGGAGAAGGAGCGCGTCGCGGCGGAGAAGGCGGCGGAGAAGCAGCGGTTGTTGATGGAGAAGGCGGCGAAGGCGAAGGCGCTGGCGGAGGAGAAGGCTGCGAAGGCGAAGGCTGCGGCGGAGGAGAAGGCGGCGAAGGTGCGTGTTCTTTGCTTCTACTTCCATTCCTTTCCTCTACTTCCTTCCGCACCCACTTTCACCCTTGCTCGTCGGCGTCCTTCGAAGTAGATGCTGATGAGTGTGTGTTTAGGACGCGAAAGACAAGGCGGAGCGCGAGGTGCGCGAGGCGCGGGAGAAGATCGAGAGGGAGCGCGCGCCCGAGGGGGAGGTGGAGGAGATGATCGTCGCCGGGACGGCGTTTGGTGCGTTCGCTCACTTACCCACTCACTCCCTTCCTCCCTTTACTGTGAGCGCGCCGCTAATACGACATGCGTACAGGATTCGGGCTGTTCAACCTCGTGTTCTCGCTCTTGCCGAAGAAGGTGCAGTGAGTGCCCTGTTGTCTGTGAAAAAATGGGGAGCGGCTTGCTGATGGATGGTGGATGTTCTTTAGATCGCTGGTTGGGCTGCTTGGGTTCAAGCATGATCGGGCGCTTGCGTTGAGGGCTTTGGCTGTGCGTGGTGTTTTCTTTGTTTCTTTCTTACTCGCGGTGTCGAGCTGCCCGAGAGCGGCGATG